TCATTACGGATAGCTCATCGCGTGTGACATTCTTACTTGTGAAGTAAGTAGCTGATTTCACAAGCTAAAGTGTGGTGACACTTGAATGAACACGTGGATGTTTTGTTATAGAACAAAACATTGGAGACCCGTTAGGAGATTCCACATGGATAACTATCTGAGTGTTAGTGGTTAATCTCTAACGTTCGGTAGTGGAATTGATCCTTTGACTTAAGGTCGTCATAGTACCTTATATGAGGACGGTCATACTTTGATGGTATTGGATGTTACTCTGTCAATGGTCGCTAATACAGCATCGTTCGGGTATGTCAAGAATCATATGAAGATTGTGAATGATCAATAGAGGACTCGTCGCTCTTAGATATAAGAGATTATGATCTACATTTTATCCAGTTAAGTTAATAATAAAATCATTGGCTAAGGTGAACTCATAAGTCGAAAAAGAGTTTTCAACTTACAATGACTTAATACTGGGATAAAAGATATGATCGATAATTGAGATTGACACGTATCCATATCTCATTATTGATTGGATCATATTGACGAAAGGATTATAATTTCACGGTATACTAACAAGTTTGGTTTGTCACATCAGGTGACATTTCTCATCACATTTATTGCCCTGAAACATTGCTAGATGTCAATTTGGGACGACGAATGTGAATTGGTGATAAATTAAAAGGGGTGCTTTAATTTATCAATTTTAATTATATCAGAATAATAATTCACGTCGTTAGGCATCGTGATCGGAAATCTAATGGGTCACACACAAAAGAGAACCAGAAGAATGAAATTTACCAATTATTTAATTGATAAGTGTTGAACGGTTAATTAATTGAGTTGCTTATTAATAAACCCGAATTAATTAATTGGATTACTAAATTCATGGACCGGATTTAATTAATTTGATTAATTAAATATCGGATAGGGTAAAGTTTAGAGATGAGCCAGCCCACTTGGGCTTATATTAATAGGTTGTTAGGGTTTGTAAAATATATGAAATTTTCATTATTCTTGCTAGCACAAGAAAAGTAAAACCCTAGCCGTCATTCTTGTTCTCTGTGTGGATCACCATTGGAGGCTAGACAATTGTACAGCTTGGATTGTAGATCGTGATCACTGGAGTTCGAGAATCAGCAAAAGAGTTTGCAGAATTCATCAAAGGTATTATTCTCAACACAATTTCTATCTAAACACAAAACAGATCCGTGGTGGGAATTGAAAAATTATTAATTTTTCGTTGTGCATATTAAGTAAAT